GATAGATAGATAGATAGATAGATAGATAGATAGATAGATAGATAGATAGATAGATAGATAGATAGATAGATAGATAGATAGATAGACTGACTGACTGACTGACTGACTGACTGACTGACTGACTGACTGACTGACTGACTGACTGACTAAGTGGGCTGTAGGGCAACCATAGATGTTTGGTAAAACAAAAGTAAATTGTGATTCAACCACTAGTTTCTAAAATTAATATTTGTTTAGTAGCAAAGTGGAAAGGTACTTGAACATTGCAAACATTCCTGATGAAGGTCCCTGCTCCTTCCCACTTACTTCAGAAAGCCTTGTCTTGCTTATTGCTTTCCTCTATTTGTCCATCAGCAAAGGAATTTCCCTTACCTCAGGGGATCTGGTGGTGTTCTGGAATATGGTGTAGCCGATAATTGAGCTGGACCCCATGATGCTGTGGAAACAAGGGGCGGATTGGTGGAGCTTAAAGTTGCCAGCTCTGATGCGTTTTTAGAGCGTGTATGAACCTTCCTTTAGCCCAGCAAATTCCCGCTTAATAAACACAACATAAGCATTTTATTCTAACAAATGCAAAGTCAGTTTAGTCCGAGAAGGGCTGGAAATAAAGACAGGAATGACCCAACAAAAGCAAATAAAACATATACATCCATGGCATTTAGCAACCCGAGGAAAGGGAGACATGCTTGGTAACCCCTAAAACCCTCAAACAGGTTATTTCCTGCCTGATCTCCTCCTGGGGATCTTTATCTGTATTCATTACAATTATGTCTTAACAGAGAAGGCTGCAAGGAATACCTCAAAGTAGCTGTGACAGCTTGGATCCAGTGGACGGCAGTGAAAAACTAGGTGGGGAAAAGAGCAAAATTAGATAAGCCGTTTGCAGGCTGTTTACCCGAGACCCTCCGGATGTACGCGAAGTTGTAGACGGGGCAGGTCTCTGAGCCCCCTCTACTAGAACATCTCTGCAGGTTCTTCCTCGACTCACCTGAGCCCTGTCCCAATCTTGTGGCAGCAGAAGCTCCTGAGCGGCAGCCCCAGGGGCAAAGGAGCCCATGCTGGCAAGTCAAGCAAGGAGCTGCAGGCAGCAGCAACGGGACCAGCTGTGGACTGGCCAGCCAGCTGCCTGCCAGCCTCCCTCTTCGCCCCACCTCGTTGGTCCCGCCCCCGCTGGTGGGAGGCACAGCAGGCAGACTCGGTGGTCCAGCAGCCTGTCGGTTTCCAAGAGGGAAAGACGGGAGGAAAGAAAGAAAAAGATCAAACTGGAGGGTGGGAGGTGAAGGAGGGAGAGAACCAAGACCAGAGCAGGGATGCAAAAAGGACACGACGCAGAAGACCCCTTTCCAGCGGGTCCAGGTCCCAGCAGCTCCAGGCTCTTTGCTCAAGACGCCCCCATTATTTGACAGAATTGGTTGGAAAGGCAGCCAGGAAAGAGCCCCCCCCCCCCCCGACTCCCCTTTTAACTACGGTTCTTCCCTCTAGAGTGAGAGCCACAGGAGTGTCCAGGGGAGGGGCTTCCCCCACCCAAATTTAAATCCTGGTTGACTTTAGCCCCTTCAGGCAACCAGTCCAGGGGACTGCCGCCCTCCCAAAGCAGATGCCTTTGAATGAAACCTGAGAATCCGAAGAGCTGCTACCCAATTTTTGATTTGGGGCTACTCCAGAGTAACTCAGCGTTTCCACCAGAGAGCAAAACAGCAGCTCCATCTACTGATGGGCAAAGGAAACTCACAACCACTTTGAGTGCCCTGCAAAAGGACGTGTGTGTGTGTGTGTGTGTGTGTG